AAAGCCTCCCTATAGAAAATTCTTCCCCCTTGACCAATTAAGTCAGAAGTCACACAACACCAGTCATCTCTATAACGTTATTTATGTTATCATTTCAATTTTCTGATTGGTCAATGATGTGAGGTGCTGGTGTTGGACTGGGGTGGACAAGGTCAGAAGTTACATGACATCAGGTTACAGTCCGAGATAGTAGGAACTGCAGATGCTGGTGAATCCGAGACAACAAGGTGCAGGGCTGGATGAACACAGCAGGCCAAGCAGCATCATAGGAGCAGAGAGGTCTGCCCCTATGATGCTGCTTGGCCTGCTGTGTTCATCCAGCCCTGCACCTTGTTGTCTCAGGTTACAGTCCAACAGGTTTATTTGAAATCACAAGCTTTCAGAACACTGCTCCTTCATCAGGTGAAACACCAGCACCTCACATCATTGACCAATCAGAAAACTGAAATGATAACATAAATAACATTATGGAGATGAGTGAATCCTGAAAACTCATAGACCCCTCTTTCAGCAACAATAATGTGCCATTGATATTGTGAAGTTCCTTTTTCCTCATATGTAATTCAATTTTAAAAATTTATTCATTGGCTGTGGGCATCGCTGTAGTCCAGCATTTAATGCCCATTCTCCATTGGAGAAAGTGGCGGTGAGCTGTCCTCTTGTGGGGTAGGAATACCAACAGTACTGTTAGGTAGAGATTTTCAGGATTTTGACTCAGTGACAGTGAAGGAACAATGAAATATTTCCAAATCACGATGTTGAGTAGTTAAGAGGGGAACTTGTAGCTGGTGATGTCCTCAGGTAGCTGCTGCCCTTGACCTTCCAGGTATGAGATCATAGATTTGGAAGCTGCTGTTGAAGAAGCTTTGGTGAGATACTGAAGTGCATCTCATAGACAGAACGCAAATGCTCCTCTGAACGTCACAGGTGAAAGGAGGGAATAATGCACGTGATATTTGGGGTCCAAATCAAGCAGGCTGCGAGGTCCTGGATGGTGTCTACTTGAATCTTGTTGGAGCTGCACTCATTCGGGTAAGTAGGGAATATTCCATCACACTTCTGACTTTGCCTTGTAGATAGTACACAGGCTTTGAGGAGACAGGAAGGGAGTTATTTGCTGCAAGATTCCTAGTCTATGACCTTTACTCATAGCTATTGTATTTAAAAGGTTTGTGCAATTCAGTTTTTGATCATTGGTATACCCCAGGATGTTGATATTGAAGGAATTATATGCTGGTATTACCACTGAATGTCAAAAAGTGATGGTTTGTTTCTCTCTGAATGGAGATGGTCATTGCCTGGCACTTGTGTGATGCAAATGTTACTTGCCACACATCCTGGATATTATCCAGGTCTTGCTGGGTGTGAACATGGACTGCTTCAGTATCTGAGAAGTCATGAATGGTTATGAACATTGTGCAATTGTCAGCGAATATCCCCAGTTTGTCAGGGCACTGACGAAACAGCTGATAATGGTTGGGCCAAAGAAACTAGCCTGAGGAGGTCCTGCAGAAATGTTCTGGGGCTGACGTGACTGATCTCCAACAACCACAACCACCTTCTTTTGACGATGTTGGACTCCAACCAGTGGAGAGCTTTTCCCATTGACACCAATTTTGCCAGGGCTTCTTGAATGCCATACTCAGTCAAATGCCACCTTGAGGCCAAGACCAGTCATTCTCACCTCACCTCTGCAGTCTAGCTCTATTATCTATGTTCAGATGAAGTCTGTAAACAGGTCAGGCCAAGTGGTGCTGGTAGAACACAAATACACATCAGTGAGTAATTCCTTTGCTACTGCTGCTTACAAAACTGTTGACAACCCTTTCAATCACTTTGCTGGTGATTAAGAGGAGACTGACAGAATGGTCTATGACCGATTGGATCTGTTCTGCTTTTTGTTGACAGGCACACCTGGGCAATTTTACACATTAATGTCGCACAAAGAACTGCAGATGCTGGAAATCTGAAACAAAATCTGAAATTGCTGGAGAGATTCACTGACCCTTAACTGGACTCAAACTGTTAACTCTGCTTTCTGTCCACAGATACTACCATACCTGCTGAGTTTGTCCAGCAATTTTTGTTTTTGTTTCAATTGTACACTTTGTTGTGTAGAAACCAGTGTAATAACTGTACTGGAACAACTGGGCTATTAGCACAGCTAGTTCCAGAGCACAAGCCTTAGTAATATTGCAAACTTATTGTTTTCAGGGCCCATAGTCTTTGCAGTCTCCAGTGACTTCAGCCCATTTCATGATATCTTTTAGAGTGAATTGAATTGTTCAAAGACTGGTATGCGTGATTCTGGAGATCTCTAATGAAGACTGAGATGGCTGATTTGCAGACAAAGGGGTTATACTCAGTTCTATCTCTACGCCAGCATCCCTGACTCTCTAACCACTTTTATGTTGCCAGACCATCTTTCAGACATCAGGAAGTAGATAAGCTATAACTTCCTCTAACTGAAAAATGCAAATGCCAAAATCATCTCTTTTGGCAGCTAGTAAAACCCCTGTTTCTAGTTTACCTCCAAGTCTATCAATCCTTTTCAATCTGCTTAATTTTAATGGCATTTAGAAAACCTGTTTGACTCAGCTGGGCATCTAATGTTGTGTCCATCATTGTTACCCTGCACTTTCACCTTTAAATGATCACTTGTCATTGTGCTTCTTTTTCCTTGAAGGTTACTGAATATCATTGTGACAAAAAAAAACGAAGTACTCTTTTCTAGCTTTGAATTTCTGACTGTGCTATCAAATCCAATCACCTAGAGAGTGGTTAAAAATTGCAACTTATTACCAAATGAATGAATAGCACAACTACATTTAAGGGAAATGATATGAGGGAGTATATCAGGGAGAAAAGATCAGGAGGATATGTAGCTAGAGTAAGATGATGTACGCTGGGAATAGACTCGTACAGTGCATAAAACTGGCCTAGACCTGTTGACCTGAATGGCCTATAAATGCTATAAATGTTGGAGTTACCACAGCCTGTTCAACAACAAGAACAATATTTTAATCTCGACTGATGAAATTTGTTTCAGAAAACAAATTCCTAAATATTGCTTTTCCTGAGAAGTAAAATGTAACAAGAGACAGATTGTGATAATGCATGTTTCAATGTGCTGTGAAACCATTTATTTAAAGTCAGGAGCATGCAACTTTGAAACGTACATTTTTACCATTGTCTACAAAACAAGTTTTGTAGCCAATATTTAAAAGTATTTTTTTGACTCAATGCTATTCATATGTAGCAACAAAAAGCTGCATTATCTCTCTCATTCATATAAATGTAAAATAAAATGTTATGAAGATTTAAAAAAACTCTGATACATCTCTTATTCTTGCTTAGACTTCTTTGAGAAATATTGCAGCTTGGGTGGGGAGCTCCTGAACAATTTGAATTCAGGTTACTTTCAGAAAGATTTGAGAAGTGTATAGAAAGGAAAAATGGCAGCTCTGAACATATCACTCCCTGACTAATTATAGCAGTCTAAGACATGCTGTACTTGCAAATACTGGACTAAAAGAAATAAGGATGAATTTTGAGTATGAATGTCACCATTACAAAGTGTATATGTTTTACACTGACAATATGGCTGCAGTATAAGTGCAAGCAAAACCCAAATCAGGCCATAGTTTGAGTCCAGGTTAAGATTCCTTGACAGAATCTCATTAGCAAGATTCTGTGCTCTATGACCTGTTCCCCAGGATGCACACCAAGACAAACATCAACTGCACCCGAGGGCCATCAACTCCATGAAAGATGCTCTTTGGTCTGCCTGAAACTCGTTGGTTTTCCAGAGCAAGGAATCGATCTCAACCAAGTGTTGCAGACTGGCACATTTCAAGGTCCAAGACGATGTGCTGAGGGATGGATTAGAGTTTCGGGCAGCTGCTGCCAAGGTGCAGTGGGGAAAGACCACTGTCTGAGGTCTTTCTGCCGAAGTTAAATGGGGTCAGTTATTGGACCCTTCCGGTGCCTCAAATGCATGTAAATTTAATCTTGTACAAGTAAGGGATGACTTTGGTTTGTTTGTTGGATGGAGTCAAACTCCATTCTTTGCTTGTTTCTTCACATGCTACTGTACAGAACCAAACTGCATTAGTGACTATGTGTATATATGAAGATAATTTTAATGAATAAAGTATATTTTTGAAATAAAAGAAGTTCCATGATGGAATCTCATTAAACTTCAGTCTAAAATCAAGATAGCCCTTCACTCTAAATTCACATGGCAATGCAGCAAAGACCCAAATGCCAAGCATGGGCTGTAACTTGAGGGACAAAATGTAATCATTTTAGAGCTTTTCTATTTTGTACACATTTGGATTAGAATTAAGCTGTGAAGACTTGACTGTTGAAAGCTTCATAACTCAGTCTCTTCTGTTGTGCCCTCTGTTGTCGCATGGGTCAAAATCTTGGAACACTCTCTTCCTAACAGTACTTGTGAGTGTACTTAAACCGTATGGACTGCTGTGGTTCAGGAGTAGGCTCAGCACCATCTCCTCAAGGGAAATCAGGAAAGGGCAATAATTGCAAGTGATGCTGTGCCAGCCGCACTCATATCCTGTGAATGAAATAAAATCTTCATTTCTCTTCCTAATTACTTTTTAAAGGCTGCGTGATTTTAGCCAGTGTTTGACAAAGTGAATGTTGGAATCCCATTAAAGGTTGTGGGGGCAGGGGGGGATTATGTCATGTAAATGGTTATCTTGGCACATTTTGTAGCAATAAAATTAATTTTATTGAAAAAAAAACTACTGAATTCTTTTTATTCAGAAAGTCCATTATGCCTTTCTAACTGGTTTCTAATAATATGCCATCTTATAAGGTAAGAGTTTCCATCTATTCAATATTCAGGCATGTAAACAGTTACCTACATACACGTGTGGCTGCCATCATTTTAATTGGCCTTAACCAACCCTCTCACCTTCTGTGTCAGAAAATGCTACGATAAACTTGAGGTATAATTAACAATGGGAAAAACAAACTCTGAATGAAAGCCAGGCTTATTTTAATACATATATAATTTGCATCCTATGTGCTAAGAGTTTCATATGTAAACATAAAGCATATTTCGTTAAAAAGAGTTATAAATCAAGGCCATAATGTTTCATTGCATATCTTTTTTTTCTCTTTTTCACCTTTTTTCTGTTTTTGTTTTTTTTTGTTTTGGGTCCATGGTTGGCCGAGGTCAACTCGTAGTGTCAGAAACAAAGGAATATATAAATGCATAAGTTACATAATAAGTTCACAATATAAAATGCAAAATAACCTTGATTTGAATACTTATTTCTTACAAACGCACAGCGTTCGCGACTCTTCACATCTGGCGACCGCCTCGGTTTAAAAAAATGCATTTGAGATCTCCTCAGGTTTGATAGTGGGCTAGTCCTGGCCCAAATGTGCAGGATAAAGAAAAATGGTAGTAACCTCCCAAGTTTCAGGTCCCAATCAGTTTTACATCAAGCACATTCACAAGATCCCCGTTTTTTTTTCAAAATGTAATAATTCCAGACAATCCCAGTTTTCCAATTCTTAAGAGATGTTTTTTTTCACTCGATGATGAAGTATTTTGGCTCCAGATTCCTGTTTTGTTTTCTTTCTTTCCTTCATATTAATGATTATGGAGACAGGTCTGTCATTTTTGACTCTTCTTCGGAGAATCCTTTTTTATATCCAATTGATATAGTCTTGTTTTTGCATGTCCATTTAAAAATCACACAGACACCAGCTTACTCCTTTACGCCTATCTCTTCAGTTCTCCTTTTTCCAATGCCATTGCCTAATTTCTATTCCAACACGTAGCCTTCTGCACATACTCAAATCCAAATGCTTGGCTCAAGCCATGCAAAGTAAGAAATCATTGTACCAAATCATACAGTCTTGTCCAACAGTCTCCCACAATTTTGTTTTTAATATATTTCGATGATAAATCCTGTTAACAAATAAATTCCAGAAGGTATAAATATTTCAGTTCAGAGAGCAAGAGTTTAACTGCTGAAGAAGATCCAAGATGTTACACTTCAAGTCTCTGATTTGCAGGTTCTACTATTACATAATTTCTGACATGCTTTGTTTCCTCTTGCCATGTGTTGATGGTTGTTTCCTAAATTCCACAATCTTATTTCATATGCAACACACATTGTCTTTCCAACAATTTGTGTTTTTGTTCCAGATTGTCAGCAGGGATCAGTCGATCCTTAGATCTTCTTCTTTCAGTTCATACACTCTCCATAAAGTACTCCTCTTTTAATAATTCACCTCCAGTCAGTTAGCCAGTTATAATGTCATCAACAGACAGGTGTCAAGCTTATTTCTAATATTTCAACACATATTTTTTACCTCTTCCAGTATTCGAGACTTATCACATCTTTGGTATTCCTGTATGGTTAGAGTCTATACTTTGTGTTTTTTTTTCCTCCAATTTAAATTCATAGTTATTAACCCAATGCTCCATTCCCAGAGCAGCAACCCAAGTCATAATTGAAAAAAAAGTGAGCATTGTTCAATAGTACGTTCCAAGGTGAGATGGCATGTGGGTGGATGGATGTCTGGCATTTGGATAGATACCTCCGGTTGGAGAATTCCAGTATGGACTCGGAGCTGCAAAGAAACTAGAGGATGTCACAGGTAGAGCAGGAGGGTGAGGAGCCACAAAATTCACCTTTTGCTGGTGTGCATGATAGGTACTCATATATGAGATATCTGTTGGGTACTTGTACATGGAAGACTCAGGGGGGTGGGGTTGCAGAGCTTGTGCAATTCCATGGAAGTCAAATTTGTAAGCGTAACGCTTGCCGTGGACTTTGGTCATGATGTTCTTGTCATAGTAGTAACGCAAGGCCCTGCTCAGCTTGTCATAGTTCATGTTGGGCTTGCTCTTCCTCTCTCCCCAACGTCTTGCCACTTCATCTGGGTCTGTCATTTTGAATTCTCCATTGGTTCCTTCCCAGGTAATGCAGTTAGCATTGGAGCTGTCAGACAGAAGTTCCAACAAGAATTGCCACAACTGAATCTGCCCACTTCCTGAAATGAAATAAATATATTTTGTTAAATTATTGATAAAGATTTCCAAAAAGACTTTTTTTTATTGAGATACGAAGGTGAGTACTAAGGCCTATGCTGCAGGTAACCATGTAAATTGCTGAGTCAAAATCTTGGAATTCTCTCCCTAAGCGCATTGTGGGTCAACCTACAGCATGTAGACTGTAACGGTTTAAGAATGCAGCTCACTACCATCTTCTCAAGGGCAACTAGGGATGGGCAATAAATGCTGGCCTACCAGTGATGCCCATGCCCCATGAACGAACATGAAATAAATCAATAAACTGCTGGATGGAAACTGAGTCAAGTAAGGAATTGCTCACTATGCAAGCCCTGGGAAGATCTTATGGTGGGACAATCAAGATTGAAGGTGAAGTGAGGAAGAGCAATAAAGAAGAACAATTAATCGAGAGCTACATCAATTTTTAGACTACTAGTTTTTATTACTGCTATATTCAACTTACCTGGGTTTGCAAGGCGGCTACTTGTAGGCCCAAGAATCTGATAAGGATCTGTGAAAATCAAAATAAATATTAACATACCAAGCCCTTTTTGAATGAGGGTAGCTTTTTCCATTTTATGAAGTCCGTAGAATTAAGACTTAAGAAACAAAATTATCTTAGCCTTCCTCGTGATTCAGTTATTTAATGTATCATGTGGTAGATGATCAGCCATACAAACCTGACAGGTTCAACACTTGGCAGGTCTGGCAGGATCTGTGGTGAGAATTCAGAGTTAATGTTTCGGGTCGAGTGACCCTTCTTCAGATGCTGCCAGTCCTGTTGAGCTTTTCCAGCAATTTCTGTTTCTGATTTACAGCATCTGCAGATCTTTCAGTTTCATAGAATCCCTACAGTGTGGAAGCAGGCCATTCAGCCCATTGAGTCCACACCGACCCCCTGAAGAGTATCCCACCCAGACCCACCCTAACCCTGTAACTCTGCACATCCCAAGATACTATGAGCAATTTAGCATGGCCAATCCACCTAACCTGCACATCTTTGGACTGTGGGAAGAAACCAGACACCTGGAGGAAACCCATACGCAGACATGGGGAGAATGTGCAAACTCCACACAGACAGTTGCCCAAGGCTGGAATCTATCCCGGGTCACTGATGCTGTGAGGCAGCAGTGTTAATCACTGAGCCACTGTTCAAGTTTGGTCTCTGACATTTAGTGAGTGAGATGATATCAGCTAGTGCAGCAGTCGGGACATGACAGATGATCTCCCAGTACCTTTTGCATGAGAGAGGATTGTGAACTTGTCTTTAGACCATTGTTTCCTTTTCAACCAATTGGACCATTTACAGCACGTTGCTGAGAGCCAGTGTCAACGCCTGCTTCAGCGAATCAACACAGGCATTTTGCACATTTGTCATATATGTTTGTGCTGTCAAACTCAAATGTTTTACACAATTTTCTTTCAGAAGCAGTTGTTTTCAGAGATTTTGCTATTATGAAATTTGGAACGGGAGATATGGGAAAATATTTGTTCCAGTCTACAACATGTCACTTTGAGATAGTGAGAAAGATTTTGATAGTGACAGATTGATACATTGCATTAAAATAGGAATTTAACACCAACAGTTTGCCCTGCAGAACAACTATCTGCTTGAAATGAACAAGGATTTACAGGTCTGTAAATTATAACTGTAAACTGTAACCATAGCTTGCTCACACAATATTGACTATACCAATACAGATAAACAGGCAACCACCATTGATTAGAGTTTAGAACTGCATGTACCTATCTGGTGACGAGATTGGTCTTCCACTTTGGTTACATTTGAGGAAGATGAAGGTGTTCCTAGGCAAGAAAGGAAGAAGAAAAAAAAATTCAAAAACAATTCATTTTATTTATAGTTGTTATGCATGGTTTTTGGTTTCTTTGGCAGTTGGAGCTGAAACCTTTATACAATGAAACAGGAGAGTTATGATACATTCTTTATTAGCACTGGATTTTAACCCTTTCTGTCTGAAGGGAATGGGCAATTAAATCAGTAGTAAAGGACCCATTAAAGCATAGACAGCATATAGCTACCCAGTACTGCATTTGGGAGGTTAGCTCAGTTGGCAAGATTGCTGTCTTAAAATGCAGGGTAATACTACTAACATGGGTTCAATTCCCACATCAACTATCACTACCATGATAGACTCTCTTTCTCAACCTTTCCTCTCCCCTGAGGAGGGGTAGCCTTCAGGTTAAACCACCACTAATCATCTGTATCAAATAAGAGAGTAGGACTGTTACAACTTTACCTTTAATTTTTAGAGAAGTGAGGACATGAGTATAAGTTGTGATTGGGGCCCTGGAATGCTACTGAATCCTAACAGCATTTTAATTGTAATTTGCATGATTCTTATGTAGAGAGGCTTATGTAGAGATGAGGCGTGAAGGCTCAGTTAGGGCGCTTGAGAGTTACAAGTTAGCCAGGAAGGACCTAAAGAGAGAGCTAAGAAGAGCCAGGAGGGGACATGAGAAGTCTTTAGCAGGTAGGATCAAGGCAAACCCTAAAGCTTTCTATAGGTATGTCAGGAATAAAAGAATGACTAGAGTAAGATTGGGGCCGGTCAAGGACAGTAGTGGGAAGTTGTGCGTGGAGTCCAAAGAGATAGGAGAGGTGCTAAATGAATATTTTTCGTCAGTATTCACACAGGAAAAAGACAATGTAGTCGAGGAGAATACTGAGATACAGTCTATTAGACTAGACGGGATTAAGGTTCATAAGGAGGAGGTGTTAGCAATTCTGGAAGGTGTGAAAATAGGTAAGTCCCCTGGGCCAGATGGGATTTATCCTAGGATTCTCTGGGAAGCTAGAGAGGAGATTGCAGAGCGTTTGGCTTTGATCTTTATGTCGTCATTGTCTTCAGGAATAGTGCCAGAAGACTGGAGACTAGCAAATGTTGTCCCCTTGTTCAAGAAGGGGAGTACAGACAACCCTAGTAATTATAGACCAGTGAGCCTTACTTCGGTTGTGGGTAAAGTGTTGGAAAGGATTATAAGAGATAGGATTTATAATCATCTAGAAAGGAATAATTTGATTAGGAATAGTCAACACAGTTTTGTGAAGGGTAGGTCGTGCCTCACAAACCTTATTGAGTTCTTTGAGAAGGTGACCAAACAGGTGGATGAGGGTAAAGCGGTTGATGTAGTGTATATGGATTTCAGTAAAGCATTTGATAAGGTTCCCCATGGTAGGCTATTGCAGAAAATACGGAGGCATGGGATTGAGGGTGATTTAGCGGTTTGGATCAGAAATTGGCTAGCTGTAAGAAGACAGAGGGTGGTGGTTGATGGGAAATGTTCATCCTGGAGTTCAGTTACTAGTGGTGTACCTCAAGGATCTGTTTTGGGGCCACTGCTGTTTGTCATTTTTATAAATGACCTGGATGAGGGCGTAGAAGGATGGGTTAGTAAATTTGCGGATGACACCAAAGTTGGTGGAGTTGTGGATAGTGCGGAAGGATGTTGCAGGTTACAGAGGGACATAGATAAGCTGCAGAACTGGGCTGAGAGGTGGCAAATGGAGTTTAATGTGGAAAAGTGTGAGGTGATTCACTTTGGAAGGAGTAACAGAAATACAGAGTACTGGGCTAATGGTAAGATTCTTGGTAGTGTGGATGCGCAGAAAGATCTCGGTGTCCATGTGCATAGATCACTGAAAGTTGCCACCCAGGTTGATAGCGTTGTTAAGAAGGCGTACAGTATGTTAGGTTTTATTGGTAGAGGGATTGAGTTTCGGAGCCATGAGGTCATGTTGCAGCTGTACAAAACTCTGGTGCGGCTGCACTTGGAGTATTGCGTACAGTTCTGGTCACCGCATTATAGGAAGGATGTGGAAGCATTGGAAAGGGTGCAGAGGAGATTTATCAGGATGTTGCCTGGTATGGAGGGAAGGTCTTATGAGGAAAGGCTGAGGGTCTTGAGGCTGTTTTCGTCAGAGAGAAGAAGTTTAAGAGGTGACTTGATAGAGACATACAAGATGATTAGAGGATTAGATAGGGTGGACAGTGGGAGCCTTTTTCCTCGGATGGTGATGGCTAGCACAAGGGGACATAGCTTTAAATTGAGGGGTGATAGATATAGGACAGATGTCAGAGGTAGGTTCTTTACTCAGAGAGTAGTAAGGGCGTGGAATGCCCTGCCTGCAAAAGTAGTAGACTCCCCAACTTTAAGGGCATTTAAATGGTCATTGGATAAACATATGGATGATAATGGAATAGTTTAGGTTAGATGGGCTTCAGATTGGTTTCACAGGTCGGCGCAACATTGAGGGCCGAAGGGCTTGTACTGCGCTGTAATGTTCTATGTTCTATGTTCTATGTTCTGTGTTCTCTCTCAGTGCTGTACCTGCACAGTGGCTCAGTTGTTAGCACTGCTGCCTCACAGTACCAGGGACCTGGGTTTGATTCCACCTTTGAGTGACTGCCTGTGTGCAGTTTGCATGGTTTCCCCATGTCTGTGTGGGCTTCCTCCCACAGTCCAAAGATGCGCAGGTTAGGTGGATTGGCCATTGTGTCCAGGGATGTGTAGGCCAAATGGGCTAGCCATGGTAAATGTGGGGAAGCAATTAGGGGCTGGATCTGGGTGGGATGCTCTTTGGAGGGTCAGGTGTGGACTTGATGGGCTGAATGACTTCTTTCTACACTGTAGGGATCCTATGAGACCTGCTGGGTAAAACCTGGCAGTGAGGCAATTCTCAATCAGCTGGAGCAAAGTTATCCTTTTTGATTTTGTTTCAAAATTTCCTTGAAATGGATGAAATTTCAAGTATCTCCTAGCCCTGTCTTCCCTTCCCCCAACATCCAACTGTGATGTCCTCCAGACTCCCTTCTTAAGCATTTCCCTGAGAGCTGAGGCCACCTGGTATTCGAGCTGAGTGGACTTCAAGTCATAGTGTCGTAGAGATGTGTAGCGCGGAAACAGACCAGATGCCGACCAGATATTTAAATCAGTCTAGTCCCATTTGCCAGTACTTGGCCCAATTCCCTCTAAACCTTTCCTATTCATGTATCCATCCAGATGTCTTTAAAAATTTTGTTGTTGTACCAGCTTCCCCTACTTCCTCTGGCAGCTCATTCCATACATGCACCACTCTCTGTGTGAAAAAGTTGCCCCTTAAGTCCCTTTAAAACTTTCCCCTCTTACATTAAACCTATGTCCTCAAGTTTTGGACTCCTTACTCTGGGAAAAAGACCTTGGCTATTCACCCTATCCATGCCCCTCATGATTTTATTAACTTCTATAAGATTACCCCTCAGCCCCCAATGCTCCGGGGAAAGAAGCTCTAGTCTATTCAGCCTCTTGCTATAGCTCAAACTCTCCCTGGCAGCATCCTTATAAATCTTTTCTGCACCATTTTAAGTTTAACAACATCTTTCATATATCAGGGAGAGCAGAATTGAACACAGTATTCTAAAAGTGGCCTAACCAACGTCCTGTACAGCCATAACATGACCTCCCAACTCCTGTACTCATTGCACTGGCCAATAAAGACAAGCGTACCAAACGCCTTCTACACTACCCTGTCAGTCTGTGACTCCACTTTCAAGAAACTATGAACCTGCACCTTGACAGATACCTTGGATTGGGATAGACTGACACAACATGCAATCATTTTGGGCACAAATTAATGCCACACCAAATGAACCTTAACAAAACAGCAGACTGATGAAGTTGAGGATTTGAATATGCTCTTTGCCTATTTGTTGTAAAAGATGTCTAAGGCAGTATTTTAATCATTTGCAGACTCAACTGTACCTGATGCAGTTTAGACCAGTGGTGCAGATGACCATTACTGCTGATAAGGGTTGGAGGGAAATGAAGATAAGCTTTCGGGAAATCTCAGGTTTGGATCTTAGAAGCTGCTACATTGAGGGGAAAAAAATAAAAGAGGAGTGGAGAGTGCCACAGTTCTGAGATTCTGTGAGAAAATGCATTGAGTAGGGAACAGTGCAATGAAACTAAATTTTCATCAAGTTCCTCAGGGATTTCATGCAAACTTGTTTTTGATCACTTTAAGTAGTATATACAGCCAATTACCACAATATTCTGTTCACACTAGATGAGGCAATGGTTTTCGATGGACTAGGACTGATCTTCAAACTCTAGGATTTATGTAGGAGCATAGATCTGCTTAATTTGATGGAAATGCCCTGTTTGTTCAAAGTAAGGGTCCTACATGAAATAATCAAATTCCATAGTATTATAATGCCCCTTAGCCATAAATTGGTATCTCTGACCCACTGCATAACTGGTGGACCAGATGTCCCTAAAAATGAGGCACTAGCCTGGTTGCACATATGTTACTGACACCTGAAGAAGTAGCCAGCCTCTGAAAGCTTGTGTTTTCAAATAAACCTGTTGGACTATAACCTGCTATCATGTGATTTCTGACCATGTCCACCCTAGTCAAACACCGGCACCTCCACATCATGTTAAAAAGAAGGCGCAGCACACAATATACAGAGTTAGGTGATTTACTGACAATTAGATCAGATCAGATCTCCTCTGGCCTGACTCATCCATTTATTTAGCAGGCTAGGTGAATTGGCCATGCTAAATTGCCTGTCGTGTTCAGGGATGTGTAGATTAGGTGGGTTCTAGGAGTATGGATCAGGGTAGGATGTTCTGAGGGTTGGTGTGGACATGTTGGGCCGAAGGGCCTGTTTCCACACGGTAGGGGATTCGATTCTATTCTAACTGCTTTTGTCAAAACTTTACAATAAACAGTTATTTTCTGTTACTGAAGCAACCTGATGTGAACTGCTTTTGGCTCGGGTAGCAGTCAGTTTGGGAAAATTGTCATTTTAATCATAACAAAAAGTGCTGAAGAAACTCAGCAGATCTAACAGCATCTGTAGAAAGAGAGATGCAGAATTAACATTTCGAGTTCGGTGTGATTTTTCTTTGAAACAGAAAGCAGGAAATTATAGTTGTTATTCTCGTGACAAGGGGGAGGAGAAGCAAATGGAACAGATGGTGAGTGTGCCCTGAGCAAAAGACAAAGGCAATGACCATAATGGTAAAGGAGTAGTGGAGATACAAAGTAGGTGTGTGAATGTTAGCTGTGAAAAATAAATTGGTCCATACTACTAACAGCAAAGTCAGCAAGACACAAGCTAAGGTATGAATAAAAACTGAAAGAACTGCGGATGTGTAAATCAGAAACAAAAACAGAAATTACTGGAAAGGCTCAGCAGATCTGGCAGCATCCGTGGAGAGAAATCAGAGTTAACATTTTGAGTCATGTGACCCCTCCTCAAACAGGTTCTGAGGAAGGGCCACTCGACCCAAAATGTTAACTCTGATTTCTCTCCAAAGATGCTGCCAGACCTGCTGAGAGTTTCCATCAATTTCTGTTTTAGTTGGTGTTTGTGTACAAACAACATATGGCCAGGAAAGGGTGGGGGATATAAGAAAGATGGAGTATAGAGATCCTTTAGAGGTCTGAAGTTCCGGAGCTCAATATTGAGTCCTAGAGGCTGCAAAGTGCCTGAATGGAAACCTAGGAGTCATTCCTTCAGCTTACCTTAAGCTTCATTGGAACACTACAGCTGGCTCAGGACAAAGGGTAGCATGAAAGCAAGATGGTTTATTGTAATGGCAAGCAACAGGAAGGTTAGGGTCGTTACTACAGAAGTGTTCCACAAATTGCTTACCCAGCCTTCCTTTGGTTTCGCCAACATGAAGGAGGCTGCATTGTGAGCAGGGAATACAGTAGACTAGATTGAGAGAAGTACAAATAAAATGCTCCTTGCCCTGAAAGTTGTGTTTGGGGCTTGGATGTTGAGGAGGGAGATGAATGGGCATGTGTTACACCTTCTGTGACTCCACAGACAGGGGCATGAGGAAGTATTAGGAGTGATGGGGCAGTGGACCAGGATGTTATGTAGGGTACAGTCCCTGTGGAACACTGACAATTGAAAAGAGGTAAAGATATGTATCACTGCATTTCGGTACATGTGACAACAACAAATCAAACACAAAGTCAATATGTTTCATTTGTCCTTTGAATGTGAGGACTGGTGGGGTGTAATTCTATCATTGTTCTGGGAGGGAGAGGGAAGAGGTAAGGACAAGAGTGCAGGGAATGGACGAACATGGCTGAAGAACTTATCAATCACAGATTGGGGAGGGATCCTCAGTTGAAGAATAAAGAAGACATGTCAGAGACAGACCAGTAGAAGGTGGCATCATACGAACAGATGTGACAGAGATGGAGAAACTGGGAAATGGAATGTAATCTTGCAGGAAGCAGGATGTGAGGTAGTGCAGTCAAATTAATTGTGAGAGTTGGTGAGTTTATTTTGGCTATCGGTGGATGACCTATCCCTAGAAATGGAAACAGTGAAGTCAAGGAAGGGTCAGAGATGGACCAGGTGAAAATGAGAGAAGGATGCAAATTGGAAGTAAAACTGATGGATTTTTCCAATTCCAGACAAGAACAGAAAGCAGCACCAATGACATCAATGATGTATTAGAAAAAGAACTGTGGGTGGGTGCCCCAAGTAGAATTTTCCACATATCCCACAAAGATGGGTAACTAGGATCCTCATAGCGATACCTTTGACTTGGAGAAAGTGAGACAAGTTAAACAAAAGTTTGTTCAAAGTGAGAACAAGTTCAGCCAAGCGAAGCAGGGAGGTTGTGGATGGGAACTGTTCAAGCCTCTTTTCAAGGAAGAAGTGGAGCGCCTTCATGCCATCTTGATGTGGGGGGTGGGGCGGGTGCGGTGGCGGGGTTGGATGTGTAGAGGGATTGCACATCCTTGATGAAGAGGAGGCAGGTAGGGCAAGAAAACTGGGAATTCTTGAACTGATGTAAAGCATCAGAAGAATCACAAACGTAAATGGGAAGATATTGAACAAGGGGGAAATAAATAGAACTCAGATAGGAAAAAATAAGTTCAACGCAGCAGGGACAGGCTGAAATGATTTGTCCACCAGGGCTGTACTGTTTGTGAATTTTAGGATGGAGATAGAAGCAGATTGTGTGTGACTGGGGCTCTATGAGGTGGAAAGCTGTGAAGGAGAGATGTCACAGTCCTAGAAATAACCTGCTGGTTTAAAATCCTGGAACAACCTACCCAATTGAGAGATATAGCCAAAAAAATTAATGCCAACCTGTAATGAGTGAAATTAGGAAATATATCTTCACCCAAGGGGTGGTAAATATTTACATCTCTTTACAAGCAGCAATTGATATAAATGTTACAACTGAACAATTCTGAGTGAAATGCATTAAAGAATATGGGGCACACATCAGTATATGGAGCGAGGATGCAGATCTCATTGAATGGTAGAACAGTCTCAAGAGATGAAGTGGCCGGCTCCTACTTCTTTATTTGCATGTTCCTAACAGCACTGTGGGAGTTACCTTCACAACAAGAACCGCAACGTATCAAGAAGGCAGTTTACCACCAACTTCTGAAGAGCAATTAGTCATGAATGTTGTATGCTGGACTTCTCAGTGAATCAGTGAATAGAAGTAAAAATACTAGGAAGGGACAAGATTTGTACAGGAAGAGGGGTGTTTTTCTGATACTGTGGTTAAGGTCCTTGGTAAGGAAGATGTTATTCTCTGTGTATATCTTGATTTGAAATGCACTGGCAATGGGACAGAGTTCCATTTCCCTAGCATTAACCTTTGGCTCCTTATAAGCACAGACTTTCCAAAAAGTTTGACCCGCTACAACCCCATTCATTATCTATGAGAACAAAGGTCTCCTTTGATCAACTTTACAGTAACATAAACTTGTTACCCTTTGGCGGAACTCCAGGATGACTTGCCCACCCTGACCGTCTGGCTGCGTCGTAAGCCAAATCTAAAAATAGAAAGCAGAATAAATGAAATATTCATCAATTTGAGAAAACTGACAGACTCTACTGCAGACCACCAGACCACTGCTGAGCACTGCCTGGTGATAGTCCTAGACATCTGGTATTAAGAAAACACATCTGGGTTATTCTTTTATGGAACTAAAATGTGGGCGGCTGGTGTTGCAATCAGACTCCAATCCCACCCGAGAGACAAAAAAAAATTATTATACTTTAACTGTTTCCAGCTAAGGAATTTGTTGTAACATTTGTTTTTTTAACCCAATGCCACTCCATTTAGTAAATTCCTAGAAGTTTTTTTAACTCTTTTTTTTGCTTCTTCTGTTTTCTCCCCTTCCCCAGACTGTGGCCTCTCTCAGTCCTTCTTCCAAATGGCCATTCCAGAAATACACACCTAACAGTAAGAGTACACTATCCACCCACAGAGAGAGTGATAGATAACTTTATGGCATTTTCCCAGATGACCATTTCTGGTTCCTTGTGGATATTTGCCATCTTTGCCAGTATGTGGTGCTCGATAAGGGTTGTTTTTAGGCAGTTCACCGTCACTGATGTTCCTTTGTCTCTGCTTTGTTTTCAGTTTATCCAGTGATAAGTGGTAGAGGATACACTACCATTGAGTATTTACAGAAGAGGCACTGCTCCTAGATAACAAGAAGATTTATTGCATAATAGCAATAATTACAACTACATTTGGTCAGTTGCCATCGGGGTGGTATGATGGCTCAGTGGTTAGCACTGCTGCCTCACAGCACCAGGGGACCCAATTTCGATTCTGGCCTTGGATGACTGTCTGCGTGGAGTTTGCACATTCTCCCCATGTCTGTGGGTGTTTCCTCTGGGTGTTCCATTAACCTCCCACAGTCCAAAGATATGCAGGTTAGGTGATTGGCCATGTTAAATTGTCCAGGATGTGTAGGCTAGGTGGGTTAGCCATGGGAAATGCAGAGTTATAGGGATGGAGTGGGTCTGGGTGGGATGCTCTTTGGAGGCTTGGTGTAGACTTGATGGGTTGAATGGCCTGCTTCCATGCTGTAGGGATTTTACAACTGGCTTGAAATCCTCTTCAGAACCATAAATTTATACAACAAAGTCCAATCTTGCTTTACACATCAAAACTGAATATCCATTTAACTTCAAGGTTCGGTCGGTAACAATGAGGAATACCAGTTGATTTTCACCCCTTGCCCACTGCACTGTTGAATCTAGAATCACCGAAGCCAATTACAGGACCCTCACCAGCTGCCAGGATAAAATCAGAGAACTTAATATAAACCAAAGATCAAACAGAGATGCTCTGATCTATAATGACCCAGTAGTTTATTACAATATGTACTTTACTCAGTGGGGAAATGTTCAACCAATGTTAAAAGATGTTTCATTTTACTGCAAACAGGTGTTTTATAAAGGAAAAACTAAGGGTGAGTCCTTGAGAACATGTGAAATTTTAATTGAGGGACGGATCATTGGTCTTCCAAATAATTTGTTTTTTTTTGCTGGTATGAGGAGATGGAGAGACACTGGACATGTCACCTGACTAGTATTCCAGAGGCCCAGGCTAATGGTATGAGAGCATTGGTTCAAATCCCACCCTGTAGCTGATGGAATTTAAAATCTCAAAATTAATAAATTTAGAATTGAAAGCCAGACTTTGTGATGACTCTGCCATTAATTGTCAGGAAAAGTTCACCTGTTCATTAATGCCCTTTAGGGAAGGAAATCTATGTTTTAGCATAGTCTGGCTTACAAATGACCCCAGACTCACAACAAGGTAGTTATCTATTAACTGCTCCCTGAAATGGTCTTGCAAGTCAATACAATCAAACTGCTACAGATGCCACATGGACTGTCGTGGTTCAAAATGCAGCTCACCACGGCCTTCTAAAGGGCAGTTAAGGGTGGACAAAAATTATTGGCCTTTCCAGCAACTCCCACATCCCATGGAAGAAGACAAAAATATCAGCTTAACCTACAAGAAGCCTCATCTCTTTTCCTTTCAAAAATGCTTCCAATAGTCCTTTCAAGTAAATTACACCATAGTCACCGCCTAGTAACTGGTCAGACCCAAACTGACACAAGTTACAGGAATATTCCGTTGTTGCATTGTATGGAGAGCAAGATTCAAAAACTGGATGGTTTATTTCTTCATCCTATTCATTCAACTATAAAAGCTACATTTAAATTGTGCCTTTAATGTTTCACAGGATCAATATCAGACAAACATTGACAACAAACACCACGAAACTTGATGTAAATGGCAGGTTTTAAGGAGGAAAGAGTGGTAGAGAGGCAGAGAGGTTTTGGGAATTCTGAAGATTACCTGAGAGATGGAAAGTTTGATTGTCAAAGTTTAGGTAAGGGAAGCAAAATATCTAATTTACATTTGTTATCGAATCTTTCATTCAAATTCACATAAAGCAAATGTGTAGCTGGCTGTCAGTTATGTGTAAAGTATAGATTCCTACCTGGTCGAACTGTGAGTCTCTGAGATGGTTCAGGATAAACTGTTGCATTTGGAAAGATGAAAGTCGCACCTCCTGCAAAAAAAAGAGAGAAAATAGCTGCCATGAAATTGAGTGCCAGGAGAGAGCAAATGGATATAAATGCCTTACATTCCTGCTTCCTGAAAATCAATCATCCTCAGGCTTGATCCTTGATCATAGGTGATCATTTAAATCACCTTAAGATTGGCCTTAGAGCATTCCTTGAGGAATGGAAGACTTAGCAAGATTACAGGTTGCTACTTAGCAATCATTATAATGGAGTAGGTAGGGAAGATCATTGGGAGGGCCAGTGGTTCAGCATTGAAGAATTAATCTGAATGCCATTATGATTTCTACATAGATACCAATCAGTGGATATCTTCTTGAGCGTGTTTACCGTGTCACAGGGTAGAGCAACCAAAGCAATCCTTGGCTGCGGCGAGAACAGGACCAGGCTCAGCTGAAGATGACTCTCTCTGGGAAATAGTCCAGAGCTCGTTTTATGTGCTGGTGCCTGAAGAATGGTAACAACACAGAAGTTGCTGGAAAAGCTCAGCAGGTCTGGCAGCATCTGTGAAGAAAAAATCAGAGTTAACCTTTCGGGTC